AATTCCTGGGTTGATACTTCAATATCGCTTATTGTAAGTATCTTTGTGGCTTGTATTTAGAACTTTTATGAAATGGCTGTTTCTCAGAAGTGGCTTCCAGATATATCTGGCTTTTAGATTTTGAGTCTCTAATGACTCTTAGGCCATCACGTTTTCAGTATACCAGGAAGGACAACTGATTTGATCAATCACAACACCTTAGCCCAAGTGATACAATCAGCAACAATAGTAGCATCAAGCACAGTTTAGAGAATGACAATTTGTGGTAGTTATTAATCTACTACTTGTAAACATGTTAATTAAATCAAAATTGAGGACCAGCCCAAAACTATGTCTATAGTGAATAAACTCTTCAATATAGCAACTTTACCCTTCGGGATGGGGACTTAGAAGGAGTTGGGGAGGGAGGGATAGATAGGTATGATAGGGAAAGGTTAGAAGTGAGGCCAGAGAGCAGAGGAAGATCACACAAACTCTAGGAAGCTGTTGAAGAGAAGAGGAGAAGACAGAATGAAAGAACAAACACAAAAACAGAACAACCTAACAGCAATAGGGAGGCTAGAAACTGTATTCACTTTCCTTTAAAACTAATGACAATCAAGAGAAGGAAAAATAAAAAAGTAAGAAAAAAAGAAATTCTAATTAGGATTAGGACAGGAACAGGAGTAAAAAGGGAGAGAAATGAACAAGGTGGGAGAGAGAGAGAGAGCAAGAAAGAAAGGAAAGGAAAAAAAAGAAAATAAGGGAAAGTTTTGAAAAGAGAAAAGAATAGATAAAAATTAGAAAAAATATGAAAAACAGGAGAAAAAAATTACTTTGAAGATAAATAAAGATAAAGGGCCTCCTTCAGGCTATGCCTCTACTGTCAGTATAGACAGCATGGGCAGGAGTGTGCCAACCGAAGTCAGTTAGTCTCACCAAGCCAGCAGCTGTCCCCTGAGGTTCAGGCTGATTTCTGCCTGCAAGGTCCCAAGTTGAGGCCTCTGACCTCCTGCTGGTTTGAACTCTGCAAGGTTCTACTAGGTTCTACTGCAGGTTCCAACTGCCCTTCCCCTGAAGATAGTCCAGGTTCCAATGGGAGGTGATGATCCCTGCAACTTAACAACTACAGTGGTCTGGTGTGCCTTTATTGCAGAGATTTTCTTCACTTTTCCAGTGGGCTGCAATTTTCATCTAGGAGCCTCAGAGAGGACCTCTTTCTCTTGTTCACTTCTGTTCTATCTTCTGGAGCTCACACCAATGTCTTTTCTGACCCGCTGCCCCTCTGTGGTGTGGATCCAAGTGCTGGCTTGGCCCAGCGGCCAGAGGTGGGGGTGGGGGTTGCGTAAGCTCCTCCGCACTGAAGGGACAGGGCTGCAGGATGTCCCACACGCGTGCTGCTCGGGACCTGCGCTCCTCTGCACTGAAGGGGCGGGGCCCTTCTTAGCATAAGTTTTAAGAAATATGAGTCATATCTTTCTGTCTTTCAAGTCATTAAGCAGAGTAACTTTGACGACTGTGTGAAAGTTGGTGAACTATTAATAAATTGTATTCCTGATAAGATCTTGGAAAACTCAGGCATAAAAGAATACTATGAATACATTTGGAACTATGTCATAACCTGCCCTCACACACATTAATTCCCAGAATGGTCATATTTCTGAAAAGACAACAGTTTTATATTTAAATACTACTTAAGGGTGTAAAGATATTATCCTCTTTTCTTACACTTGGGCTAAATGTTACCATTGTGGTTTAATAATTAAATAAAATTTTAGGACTTTATGGTATAGATATTCTTTCATGGGTCCCACCTTTCTCTTGATACTTTTGTTTAAAGAGAAAAACAAAACTAGATTATGGGGAAAAGAGCACTGATTTGGATATGTAACACTAGGATTTTAATGTGAAGATTCCACCATAGTAAAGACTGGTTTAATTTGCTGCTGGTATTTTTCCCCTTTTAAATAACCTCAGGAGAAAAATGTCAGAGGGTAACGACATATTAATGCCTGGAGATTCCTCCCCTTTTCTCATTAAAAAAGGAAAAGGAGGTAGTAAATTTAATGCTTTAGCTTGATTAGTTGGATTGATTTTTATTATCAAGTCAGTTACCACCATGAATGGATAGTCAGATTTAGAATTTATACAGCAATGAAAACTATCAACTTCTGATTACAAACTTTGCACCAGTTGGTTTTCTATGGCATTTTTTGGATGTATTGCTCATTTTTTTCTTTAGGAATGGGATAATACTGATCTAGCTTAAGTGGTCAGGTCAAGATTAATTTCTGAACTATGATTATCTCTGAAAAAAGCCTATGAAATTCTATCACATTTTTGAATTTTTATCACTTACCTCTACTGGTATGGTAGTAAAGAAAAACTTAGTGATGCTGCATTCTGATGGGCTGACAGAAGTTACCACTTAATCTCAGATGGTGAACATGTTGTAATTTAGTGGTTTTCAAAATACTGTCCTAAGGACAGTAAGCATAGTAATCACCTTGGGAATTTGTTAAAACTGAACATGCTCAGACTCCATCCCACAGATGGTAGATTCCAACTTCTAACATGTGCTCAAGTTACCTGATTTATTTCAGAATCAGGCCTGTGAAATCCTTTTATCTGTTGTAAAACATGATCAGAATCCAATAAAAGTGTCCATTGTGATTTACTTTTTGGTAAGAAGATTAAGGACAACATTAAAACTAGTGTTCCTTTAGCTTTACAATTTATAGTTGATTAAAAATTATTTTCTAATTATGAAAGTAATATATGTCCTTTGTAGAATATTATGAACATTTAGGAAATTATAAAATAACAGTCACCCAAAACACTCTGTCCTGGAGATGAACATTATTTTGATTTTTGGTATCTTTCCTGTATATCTCCATTTTTTTCCTCCCATTCTTTACTTTTGTGAAAAAAATACTCAATTTTTATCCTGCTTTTGAAAAACTTAACATATTAGCATTTTAGCATATTATTAAACTTTTTGTCATGTACATAACTTTTAGTTGCTGCATAGTATTCTGTCATATCATTGTACCATAATTTATTTAATCATCACTCCATTGTAGGATTTTTAGGTTGTTTTTATTCCAGTAGAAGAGTATCAGTTTAGATTTTTTTTTTTCTGGATCTCTGATTGTTTTCCTCAGAATAGGGTCAGATACTTACATTTACTAAATTCAGTAGCTATACATGTTTTTAAACTCTTGTCAAAGTTGCCAAATTGTTTTGAGAATGATTTTTATGGCAAGTTTTGTTTTGTTTTGTTTTGGTACCAGGGTTTGAACTCAGGACCTTGGTCTTGCAAGGCAGGCACTGAGACACTGAGCTAAATCTTCGGCTCTTAATGACAGTTTTTACTTTGATGTATACTTAATGAGAATGCCAGACAAAAACAAGTATTATTTTTTCAAAAGCTAATTTGTCAAGTGAAGCCCATATGCCATTGTTTTAATAAGTATTCCTCGATTACTAGTAAGTTGAATGTTTTTTCATATGCTTATTTTTATCTAACTCAAACTATGCATTTTGTTTTAGGTCTTCACCATTGGTTGAAATGTCTGTGATTTTATCTGCCTCAGTTGTTCGTGTCAGAGATGGACTACCACTTTCTGCTTCTACGGATTATGAACAAAACACAGGAATGCAGGAGTGCAGAAAGTATTTTAAAATGCTCTCGAGAAAACTTGCTCAACTTCCTGATAGATGTACACTGAAAACTGGACATTATAACATTAAGTAAGACTTCATTGTGTTCATTAGAATCATTTGCCTAGGGGTTGTCATTGTAGTGAAGCTTAAGTCATTGCAATAGAAATTAGTGTTTGATTAGTTTAGGAAAACTTGTTCAAGTCAATAATCATGTTGTTTTAAACTTTAACTAGTAGTCATCAGGCCTTTTACAGTTTTTCTGCATTTATATCTGGCTTTAGAAACTTGTAGTTTTGCAGATCACAGATATTTCTTTTTATAAGTTGCTCACTAGGTATTTATTGGAGTTTTTATATACCTAGAATTATAATAGGCAAACTATAACGGGGAATATAAAATTTTTTTACCTGCTACCTGCCCTCTAAGAACTAAAGAAGCTTACATTCTAGTAAATAAAACTGGCTGGGTGTGGATTTATTCCCCAGAACCACAGTGAGGTGGGGATGGAGAAAAAAGCTGGATGATGGGCTAGAGTATGACTTTGTCTGTGGTGGTCGCGGGCCTCTCTGCAAAGATAACATTTGAGCAGAGACCTGAAAGGAGACAGTTATATGAAGGATGATGTGGATAAAGAGCAAAGCTGAGGTAATAGCCAGGGTAACAGCCCTTTGATACATACCAAGAAATGGAGAAAAAAACCATTGCTGTCAAAGCATTATGGACAATCAATAGAATGGCAGAAGTTGAGGTTCCAAAGGTAGGGATGAGGCAGGTTATATAGAGGGACTTCTAGGCCATGGTGAGTCTGTTAATCTGTCGAGTCTCCTGTAGAACTATGGGAAGCCATTGGGGAGTTTTAAGCTAGAGAGAGTTTACATGATCGATTTTGGCTTTGAGTAGATCATCCAGGCTGCTTTGAAGAATGGATTCTCAGAGTGAAAATATGGAAGCAAAGAGATGAGTTAGGAGACTCAGACATTCAGGTAGAGGTGATGATGTAACTTGAAATAGCATGATAATGAAGAGAAATGGTTGGATTTGGCTGTATTTTAGGATTAAAACCAAATCATCCTAGTGGATTAAAGTGGGATATGAGGGAAAAAGAAAAAGAACATTTTTGGCCCAAGGAATCGGGCATGTAATGAGGCTGAAATGAGTAAGTCTAGAGGGCTTAAATGTGTTTCACTAGTAAAAACCAGTAGTTTTGTTTGGACATGTTAAATCTGAGATGCCTGTTAAATACCCACAGGCATGGTCAGGTAGGCAGATGGATGTATGAGTCTGAAGTTTAGCGAACAAGACAAGGATTTAGTAATGGTCTGTAATTAAATGGTCTGTAATTAAATTCATGGGAATAGGTGAAACTACCTTGGAAAGTATTCATATGAAACAATTATAGAACAATTAACTTCTGAGCAGTGTGATGCTGATTATGCATACAGAAGGAAATACATGAATAAGGTCACATTAATAAGCAGAGGGCTTCCTTATTGAGATGAGACGTGATCCATGTCCCCAAGAACAAATAAGATTTGGCTAAGGCAGGGCTGAGGGTATCTAGGTGTAGGGAAGAGAGGCAGAATAAGGAAAATATATGACTTACCATGGTAGATGCATTAACCTGCTTGGCTTGGTGTTAGTGGATTGTGATTTAGGGATAGCTGTGAGATGTGTGATAATTAGTTGAGAGATCAGCTCCTGGGTTTTCCTGAAAGTTCATGTTGAGGGAGGTCACTGTGAAGTAACAAGTTATAAGGAAGTTACTGCTACAGATTTGAGGAAAGTGACGATTAAAAAACAACTCTGATTCTTGTGACCCCAAGGTTCCCACCAGTCCCCATTCCTCCTACACAAATTAAAAATTCCTTATTGTGGGTTTTAAAATAACAGTTACACTATAAGCATATTTGTGTGCTCTTTTTTCCTAGTTTATTTTTCTTTTCATCATATATATAGTTTGAATCCAGCATGAGTTTCTCACATTGTCAACAATTTTCTCCAATAGAATTTTTATGTCCTGGTTTGTGTTAATCAGAAGTAAAATATTAAGGAAAATAAATTTAAGAGAAACTTGTGAAACTTTTTAAAGTACTGTCTTCAACCACTTAATTTATTGAAAGGAGATGCTGCTATGGTTCATAAATCAGCAATCACTCTTTTGTTTACATATAGTTCTGATTTTATTCATTGTTTTGGTCTGTACTGAAAACATAAGTAAAGTTTTCTACATTATTTTCTTTAAAAAGCAATTCTAAAATAGTAGAACAAAGACTCAAATGGAAAGTCTGAGGGGAAAGATAAGGCAAAGAGCTCAACTTATTGGAGCATGAAGTAGGAAAATAAAAGTGCAAATGAAAAAGAAAATGCTAAACAGAAAGATACTTCAAATGCCTATGATCCCAGATACCAGGAGGCTGAGGCAGGAGAATCACAAATCTGAGGCCAGCCTGGGCAACTTCATAAGATTTTTGTCTCAAGATAAAATAAAAAGGCCAAGGAGGTAGCACAGCGATAGAATGCTTGCTTAAAATGTGCAAAGCCCTGCATTTAGTCTCCAGCACTGCAAAAATCATGAAAGAACAAAATGGTCAAGATCAGATGGAATACCTGAGATAAAAGAGAAGGAAGGGGTGAAGATGACTAAAGCCTTGGAATTGAATAGAATGTTATTGTTGTTGGCAGAAAGCAGGTCTTTGGAAAGGATTGATTATGGGGGTAAGGAAGAAGAAAGATAATGAAGCTCCCTTTGGTCATTTTTCACTGAGGTTATAACAAGGCAGTCCAGAGGAAATGGGATAGATATTTTTTAAATATTCACATAGATGTGATTAAAATTATGAGGGTAAAAATGAGTTTAGAGGGAGGTCCAGAATAGAACCTTAGAAAATGTCCACAATTAAGTATTTAGATCACTTGGGTAATGATAACATAATGTGATGTTACATTAATGGGATTTCTGAAGGTTTAACTAGAAAATGTCTTAATGGTAATGGTTACAGTATACTTAATATGATGTTTGAGGCTAGTTCAATTTTTTGGAGCAAAACCTCAAAACATTCAACTAATTTAAATAGTAGGCTCTTGTAGTGCTCCGGATCATTATTTTGAGTTTTAGTTGTTATTGAATAATGGTATAGCCAGATGTCAGAGTTATACAGGAGATTGGCTTGAATTGCATATTAAAATCAGTAGGTGGCCTGGGAATTTAGCTCAGTGGTTTTGCCACCTGCTGCACAAGCACAAGGACCCAAGTTCGATCCCCGGTACCAAAAAAAAAACCAGTAGGTATCCTGGACTTAAGCAAAACAACTATTTTGTTTTATGTATTTTTCATTCCTCTGCTTTATTTTCTTAAAGTAGAGAGAAATGTAAAAATTTAACCCTTCTCTAATTCTGCTTAATTGTGAGTTCTAGATTTTGTATTATATTTCATTTTATTCCACACGAAGGATTTTAAGGCAATTTGCAAAATACTAATAATTCAAGAGCAAGTAACTGAATCAGATGAAAGAAATATAGAGATAGGACAATGAACTGATATAACATCTCCTTCTGGAGATGACTATATAGTTCATTCATCCCTTAGAAAAAGTCTGCAAGTACCACTCTGAGTTTCTTTGTGGCCAAAACAAAGGAGGATAATCAGTAGGATCAGTTACAGGACTCAGTGTCCGTCAGATAAAGACATTGTTTTTCATATTACTGAGACCTGGTGTGCATAAAGAGGGACTGCATTTAGATAGCATTCTTCCAGCAGCCACAAGAGTGAGCTTTTTATAATTTTTCATATATTCTTAGTATATGCAAATGGTGTGGTGTGTAAAGAAGTTTTACGTGAGAGTTAGGAGTGGGATAAATCAGGAGAGGTCTAATCTGGCCTGGTGCAAGAATACAGTTCAGATATTATTAAAAGAATAAATAGATCACATGGGTTTTACAACCATACACAGAAAAACCTCTGTGCATGTTGTATGTGTAGCCAAGTTTTTAAAAGGGTTTGGAAAATAGAATTTTTAATTTTAGTTCCTGTCAAGAACCTAGATTTCATATATTTTCTATTATTGATAAGAAATATTTTTAGTTGATTTTCCAATTATTAAGGTTTTTACAGTATATGACAATGAATGTAGTGTGAAATAGATAAACTCGGGAATTTCTGTTAGCTTAGAAAATTTGCCATGTTAACTCTTGAAAATTCTCACATCACAACTATTTTTCTAAAACTCAGGGATCTGAAGTAGCAATGTGACTGAAACTGCCACCAGACTGCCCCCTTTCCCTCCTGGTCATGTGCAGTGCCTTTTGCTTATGGGTCACCTTCTTTCTCATTGCTACTACGGCATGTCAAGGGAGTAACCCCACTCCCTTGGTAGGTTGTTTGCAGAACTTGTATGATTGCTTGTATCATCATATATTAACATTTCTTTAATTTACATTTTTAAATACTGTTTGTTCCCTGGGTTGTAACTCCTTGAGGAAATTGATCTGTAGCCTATACTGTTTTCAAGTCCTCATTTTTTAGCATTGTGGTTTTCAAATTTGTGTAGAAATTGAGGTACCAAAGTAACTAAGTATATAATTATATGCTAAATCAGGTGGTATCTTACATTAGGTTCTGTGGTTCTGTTTGAATAGGCCTGGGAGAACCAAAGTTTTGAGGAAAGAAATTAGGGGAGCACCACTTAAAATTTTCTTCTTAGTATACTGGGAAAATGCAGTGTTTTTTTTTTTTGGTATTAAATTCTTTTATTGGTACATTGTAGGTATACAACACAATTACATTTCTCATT